AACTTTGGTAATATTGTCATACTTGCTGAAACCCTCAGATATCTTTCTCGGCTCAGATTGGTTGTTTTCCTTCAGGCGCCGTGGACAGCTTTAACACATCAGATTGATATCCATCTTTTTATCTCACTTTCAAAAACAAAACATATTTTACAAAGTGCAGAATACTAAAGCAGTCCCAGTCTGGACCGTGGCACCATCTGGAGCAGAAACAACATTAAAGATTACTGGTTACAGGTTCACACATCAATTATTTAACACTCAGGAAGGGGACCATTCTTCAGAAAGAGAACTTCTACATACATTAATACATTTAACTGACAGTACTTTTACTTAAGGAACACACTGAATGTAGATCTCTGCACATTTTTACATTGTGGTTTTGCTAATTTTACTTCCAAATACCTTTTCCTGTTTGTGCAACAGAGAATTTGAGAAAAGTATCTGCATGTGTGTGTGTGTGAGAGATGAGGGTAAGATGCTGATGTTTTCTGACCTTGGTGGTGCATCAGACGATTGATAGGCATGTCTATCCGTCTGTGTGTTTGTAATGAGAACACACATATATAGTAATGTTACAGTGGGTTACAGCATACAGTTAATTTCTTTGAATCTTTATCTGAATGTCAGTCTTTGCATAAACCAAAGACAGTATGAGGTTGTGTTGTGTGGTTAGAGTTTCACCCTGAAGAATGAACATATGATCAGAGGCTTATTAGCATAGTGAGCGATACTATTTATGTGCTATGATTCACATGTTTGTAAGATGTCTGCAATTGTAGCAGTCAAGTAAAATGCAAATATGCCCACTGATCTCTGTAAAAGACGTTTCTTTTTTACATTGGTAATGGATGAAAAATAAAAACAAAACTGTAACTAACAAGCTGTTAACAGTTGTTGGGGAGAAAGTGGGACAGGCTGACAATATTCTGTATATATTTAATTGTCAACAAATCCCATGAAAACACCAAAACCGACTAATAAATTGATCCTAATAGCAAGAATTGTCTGTTTATCCAATGCCATATCTTATTCCTCTGTGCCATAGACCTCCATTGTTTTCTAAAAACTATTAAAACAAATCATTGAGTTACGTCAAAGTTTGTATTAATACAATGGCTGGGAAATAGTACCCAACAATAAAACCAGTTTACCTTAATTTTTCAGCGGCGTTTGCTAAAAGCATATTGTTTATTAAATGGTTTGAAATGTTCAGTAATAAAAGGTTTGAGTTGCCAGAGAAAGGGGAAAGAAGTTAGAAACTATTGAAAGAGAGTATTTACACATTATTGCCGTTGTAAGCAATAATAAAAATATAGAATAAAACTACAGTATCACCTCTGCTTATGTTTACCTTCAGGTATAGTATAAGTGATAAAAATAGATGCTGCTGCTCTGAACCTAGACCTAAATCTAGGTTACATTCCTGTGTGAACGACATGTCGATATCAGCTGCTCTCACGTGTGACGAGTTTGGTCAATAAATCAATACAGATTCGAGATCAAGATCCGGTGTAATTGTTTGTGTGGGTTGGGGGGTCATTTATGTCTTTGTGTGCAGACACACCAGCACACACACACACACACACAGATGTCAGTATACTGCGAGTGGATTTGATAGATGAATGTAAATAATATGTTTTTTTCTCTCTGACTCAGATAAACCACATGGAATCAGATTTTTTGTGGTTTAAATGTCATTCTTAAATTGCAGTGGGGGATACTGCCTCAGACAGGAATACTGATGTCTGTTCTCTGAGGGGGTTCAGCTTATAGATAGGGACTCTGTGGACATCGACTACAGCTGGAGGTTATTGACAAGACATCAAGAAAACGCTGTTTAGACACAGTGAAGAATACAGCCTGGCAACCCCCAACATCACCCGCCAAAAACTATCACATCTGTGAATTCTTATCAGCCAAGAATTCAGATATACTGCATGTGGTTTTGGAAAATTGAATTTACAATTGGAGCCAAACTGTTAATACGCACACACACACACACACACACACACAAACGTTTTCAGATTAACCTAATCAAGCCAATCTGTCAGATTAACACACATTATAAAACGACCACTAGGCCTAATCCCCGCTCGTCCTTCTACAGAGCTGAGTGAGCGGTCATTGAGAACACCGGCGTCTCTTCTGTCATTTGACTGAATCACATGAACAAAAATGTTTGTTGCTTTACTGTTTTATAATGCTTCTGATGGTTTCACAAGTTGAGCAGTGTGGCCTATCTGTCTCTTGGGCAAGATTTCTACTAAAACTATTGGACTTTTACTGCAGTATTATACACCATGTAACATGTTTTGCTTTTTAAATCAGGAAATAAAAGCAAAATTAAACTGAAATGCAGTGCTGGTATTCTAAATAAACAGATTCTGATAACGAGAGACCTTTAATGTATATGTGTGTGACATAAAAGAAAATACTGTTTGTAGTGCTACAAGACAACATATCACAGGAAAAACACAATAAGCCAATTATAGGAGGCTGCTGCCCTCTTGCCTGCAGAGGTGGAATAGCACACTGTGTTGTTGACAACAAGCTTCTTTACATCAAATAAACTTAAATATTTTATTTCAATTTCAGCCAAAGATGCTCTGACAATATATCTCTTTGTTTCTTATACAGTAGCTTATAAGATATGTTTACAGTTCCCTCCTCAACCATGACATGATTGCCAGATTGCCAGACATGGCTGCTTGCTTTGATGACATTGTCAAAACCAGACATGACAAACAATATGACAGATATCCATCGGGTGCAGCAGACTGTGTGTGTGTGTGTGTGTGTGTGTGTGTGTGTGTCTGACATGAAGGTGGATTTAGACAGACAGTCTGCTTTCCCAGATGTCATCTGAGTGACCAGTGGTCCCATTTTCTGACCTCTGAACTTTCCAGATGGTGACACCCCGCTCCCTTCATCAGTCTGTGTGTGTGTGTGTGTGTGTAAACTTTTCAAAGACTGACTGATGAGGTTTGAAGCATGTGCCACAAGGGTTTAAATTAATTTAGGTTCTAATCTTGTTTTAAGATTTCCTTACTTCTTTTTTTTTTAGCAAAGGTTGGGCAAAAATCTGGAAAATGAAAAGCAAGATAACATTTTTGTCATTCAAATAATTTCAGACACTGAATTTTGTACTAAAAGAGAAAGCATTATTTATTAATTCAGCTTTACCATGTTTATATTTGATAACAGATGTCATATGAGACTTTATTGTCTTTTTTTCGAGGGCATTTGGAAATAATTGTTCATTTTCACAGAAGTACACATGATTCTTGATGTGAATTTTTAGGTTTTATAGTTTTCTTCACTTTTCGAACCTGCAGATGCAGAACAGCAAAGAGAACCTGCTCTCTCTCCTCTACACTAATATATTCATTACTGTCATTAACCTTTCTGCTACACAGTCCCCTTATCTAATTATCCCCCTGTTACCACAGAACACACACGCACACACACACACACACACACACAGTTCTCAGCTGCTAACCCCCCCGGACCCCATCCCTACCTCCGCTACCCCACATGTTGTTTGACAAATGAGTGGTCTCGCCTCATCAAGCACATGACAATGTAAACAGATGGGAGGTGGAGACAGGGACCCGTGCCAGCTCTAAACACATCAACACACAAACACACACACCAACACACGCACAAAACTCCCTAACATATGTTGTAGTTATTCAAACAGCTATGCTCGGAGACACTTGCAGACGCTCGGGGAGTATGGCTAACAGGAGGGTCTTTTAGAGCAGCAACCAAGGAGAAATTATCTGATTTATTGATTTGACTCCCCCTTTGTGCCTTCATAATGGGGGTTGCAGATTGCTTGAGTATGAAAGACAGACAGGCAGACAGACAGACAGACAGACAGACACAGACAGACAGACAGATGAAGTCGTGCAGATTGTGTAACTATATTTACTTAAGTATTGCACTTGTGTCTTCCCTTTTACCTTACACAAGTGTTTTTGTGGCTCCAGAGGAAGCTGCATAAAGTTTGATGAATGTCGGTTGGGTGTGAAGACTGTGAGTTTCAAAATAAAACAAATCTGGGAGTGTGGCGTTTGAAAGAAGTGAGAAATCCAGACCTCTGTTAGTCCACTCCTCATGCCTACTTGAGGCTGGTGGCTTAGCTGCTTCTAGCATAATACACCCAAAGCCCTTCGTGAACTATCGGTGGTCGAGTTGCATTGTGGGTAATGTAGGCTCCCGGTTTTGGTAATGAAGAAGAATGCATGGAATAAGTAATACAGTATCACTGGTTCTACTGCATCAATTTCTATCAGACAATGTTATAGCAGTACAATGCTAAATATGTGGAGTATTTTTTAAAGTATAATTTGCGGCTAATTTTACTTTATTTTACTTTTTACTATTCTAATTTTATACTTCTGTTTGACTGTAAAGTTCACAGTCTGGTGATGACAGACAATCGGTATATTGTGTTTGACCAGGAGAAATCAGGAAAAATGCAGCACAGCCTGTGCCAAACTCAAGGTCATTACAGAAAGAATAACCTATGATAGCCTATAAAGTTATATAATTATGGTTATATTGAGGAACTATGGTTTTAATGGCACAATATCCATCATATAAAGTAAGTACAATTTCTCTATCTTAAGCTACAACATTAAACTGCTGCATGTGTTTATGTATCAGTAGTTATAATAACACAATATAATACAAAGTATATATAGTATATCATAATCTAACACTTTTAAAGGAGCCATTCAGCATGATGTAAACTTTTACTTTTGATACTGTGTATGTATTGATGATAAAACATGTAGTTAAAGTATCAAGAAGTACTGCAATGTTGGAGATTACCATCTTTTGAGCTTTCTAAGTGGCTTTAAAAGTATGGACTGTGATAAATATTTGTCAAACCTCCAAATACAGATCTAATGTTTCATCTGGATGATACCCGTCTTGTGATGTTGTGACATTCACATTATATTTTTTATTGACAAAAGAACTTTTAACACAGAGATACCTCAGTTGCAAAGACAGTAACTTTGCAGTTGCAACTCTTTCAACATTAGCAAAGACTTTTATGCAAAAACTTAATCTGTGTGAAATAAATAACTTATGCGCTACATGCACATTTAGATAACTCAAAATTAAGGACACTGATGCTGAGAGCCAGGTTACACAAACAGGTGGCGTCTGAAAACACAGTCTAGAGGCTTCAGTATGCTTCGAACAAACTAGTTTCTACTTCCGAACACGAAGTGTTTATTCTTGTTGTGGTGAAAAGCCTGCTATCATTAAGGAAATAAATCGTATGAAGGGAGATAGACAAACACTTCGTCTCTCCTTTGAGACATTGGTGGCACCTTCTTGTATGTACAGCACCACAAATGACGAAGTAATGGTGTGAATAATGAAAAAAACCTGGCCAATCACTATGTGGCTGTTACACTGTCAGTGGCAAAAAGTTACAAAAACTGCTGCTAAGTAAACTAATTTGAATGTGTTTGTAAAGTATGTATGTATATGTATCATTTCATTGCTTTATTGGCGTTAGTGTAACAAAGACAATATTGCAAAAGCACAAAAGTGTGTGTGTGTTTGACAGGTGTACATATATATATATATATATATCCAGTCCCCCAATTTGGAGGGGTTTTATTTTTTAGGTAGAAGGGTTTCAGACACTTTTTGAGAATCCAACAAGCATTTCATTTGAAGCATACTGAACCTTTATACACCACCTCTCAGTAGGCTGATAATATGGAGATATCATGAAAAAATAATAATAAGACATACTCAAGATCACATGTATGCATTTAAACAGAATTAGTGTCATATACTGAATCTGAGGGATACAAATAAAGGCTCTGCTTCCTGGGAACCCTTTTTATGCATTCCTAATTTTCATTACTAATACCAGATAATAAAATAACAGTAAGTGTTTAAATGGTGCAAATTGAATTATCTGCTGTATGATCAGCTCCAAAAATATAAATTCTATAACACAAAGTCATCCTCAGGGGGACGTCAAATGTAACACTGTGGGGTAAAATAATAAAAGACAATGGGTTGTGACATTAGCATAAAGACTCATACAATCACACATTGCACCAGGGTGCCAGAGTTCTCCCATATTTCTCAGTGTCTTCATGTCGGCAATCGACGCAGTTCATTTGCAACTTCTGTTTCCTTTCAGGCCACCAACACGCTGCAGACACCATTTCAAACCGCCACTTCCATCGATGATAACTGAGCTCAGAAGTAATTAGATAACTGCCACAGTTAATAGCAAAACTAGTTAAAAATCCATTCTCACATAACGATATGCTAAAATAACTCTTTCTCCTTCATCACATGCAATTATCTGTCAGCGTCACATACTAATGTTACTTTAAAAAACATACTCATACGCTTGGCTTCACTTCCAATTCCTTCTCACTTCACTTTCACAGCTGTTCTCCTCTTTTCACGATGTGCTTGGAGTATCCAGTGCATAATAGCACAATAAAAAGTTTCACATGGTAAGAGGTTTACACAGACATTAAACATTCTCAGATTAATAAAATACAGAACAATTAGACTTCAAGCTGTGGCTGAAATGCATGAAGTTGTGGATATTCTGCTGCTGGTCATTCATGATGATGATTTGTTCCCATTGCTGGTTGCTGCAGAGATTATGCATGTCTCATTTCTGCATCTGTAGTCTCTTTTCCACCTATGCTGAGTTCACATTGAGTCAGATGTGAAGGTCTAGCTCTGATGAATTTGATCAGGTGCAGCAGGTGAAGTTGGGTTTTTTCCTGGGAGCATCTAAGCTGGGCAGCGAGTGGTAATTACTTTTTTCATCAAAAGTAGCCTGTTTCCTTACTTGCCTGTGGGTGGAAAGAAAAAAGGAACAGGTGGAACAAAAAAATCAAGGAAGAAAACGATACTCGAAACGACTTATAAAGATAGCTGCCACTTATCCCCAATTTCAGTACAGCTAATAGGGTTTAGCAGGACAGAAGCTGGAGTATACGGCCCTCAATCAAATGAGATTAATAAGTGCTCGAGGAAAATTTGTTCATAAGACTGAAACCACGTGTTTTATTTTCTATTCTTCTTCATAATACGTCACTCCATACAGACATGACTCTTGCAACCTCCGATGTATGTGTACATGTATGTAGATCAATTTAAAGGTTACATGTGGAGTTTTTGACCTTTACTAGTTGCATTCAAAACATCCGTTCGACCTCAAGGATACAATTCATTCTTATGAGTAACACTGAATGTAAACATAACTTTTGTGTTTATTAAAATAAAACTTCACAGGGCAACCTTTCTGGTCTTTTACACACCAGAGGGCAGCAAAGGTCACAATTAAGAGCTTGGCATAGATAGTATTTGCTGTTCATACTGTATATAAGGTGATCCTGATTGTTTTTGGAATGATTCAACTTATCAAACCCTAATTAATTTCTCTCTGAGATTGTACCTTGGCAATAGACCTTTCATCAGATATTTTACCTTCCTATGGCAAAATTTTCAAATGTGTAACTAGTGAACATCAACAATGTTAGAATTTAGTGTCCCACTAAGCATTAACAATTAGCCTGCATATACAACACCTGTGTCCGGGAACAGTTAAATCTAAATGAAATGCAACCGACACTTATTTATTAATCACACCTGTGTTTGACAAGTGAAACGTCACGTTATAGTCCCCTTAGTATTTTCTAACTCATGAGGAAAATTCGTCTTGGAAACAGACTCAAAAATATACAGAATTAAAACTGCTGTTTGTTTGTTTTACACATTGAGCGGACCGAAGCGGTTATCTCACCTGGCCAGGTGCAGCACAGCCTCCAAGGTGTTGGAGCCTTCTTTGGCACTAGTTTCACAGAATAGAGTGTTGTATGTCTGTTGGGTAAAGACATCATTAATCCATAATAATTACTTTTTCATTTACTATTAGTCATTAACCCACACTGAGCGACATGTTAAGGGTTATTACTTGGATTTATACTTGGATTAAACTAGGGTAAAAGGTCAGGTATAGATATCTCACAGATATACCAAATGTGTTGTGAATTATGTGGTCATTAAAATGTCCTCACAGGTATAGTAATGTGAGTGGGTTGTTTATTGTCATTACCATGGCCAGTTTTTCTCCATAGCTGGTAGGAACACAGTTAACTCCATCTTGTCTAAGATCACACTTATTACCCACAAGCATGATGGGAATATCCTCGTGGGACACATCCTGCCAAAAAAAGAAGAAGGTAAAAACAAGAACAAATGAAATGGAAAACAAAATAATACAAAGGAACTTATATTGTTGTACATTATTTGCAGCATGGTGATTAAAATGTAAAAAACATAAATTATTAATGACTGAAACTACTTTTACATTAAGCACCACAGTGTGTACATCAGTGGTGGAAGAAGTACTCAGATATTTTACTTAAGTAAAAGTGGCAACACCACTAAAAATACAATCAAAGTCCTGAATTCAAAATCTTACCTAAGTAAAAGTACAACAGTAAAGGCATCAAAGCACAGTAAATTTGAATGTAGACCAATAAAGGAACATCTTATCTTATCTTAAAAGTATTACTTTTAAGATAAGATGGAGTTAACTGTGTTCCTACCAGCTAATAGTTATACAGAAAGTCCCATTTCAGAATCATATATATACGTTACTGGATTATAATTATTCATCACTAATGTGTACATGGCTGATTTATATTTTGTATTATTAATCTAAATCTTCAAAGTTACTAAATGTAGTAGAGTAAAAACTATAATCTTTGCCTCCAAAATAGAGGAGTAGAAGTAGAAAGACAAGTAAAGTACAAGCACCTCAAACTTAAACTTAAATGTACTTAAGAAGAGTACTTGATGTACTTAGTTACATTCCACCACTGGTGTGCATCGTGCATTATATCAGACAACACAAGCTATAATGTTACAAACCACACACTGCATGCACAAATAAGAAGTCAGACAAATGTGAACATGCCCACAGTTCAACAGCAGAAAACAATCCAAACAATGTTCCTCCAACACTTACATATCTGCTGCATGTCAAAAAGAGAAACAAGCAACATCACTTAGTTTGATATTCAATAAAACATGTGACAAGTTTACGGTAATAATAACACACATAACACATCACAACACTAGATTAGCCGGTAACGGCCATATTGTGTTATGCAGCTCAAGGACAAACATAATAGACAGAGCCATAACAAACTGGAATAATTTACCCCTTAATATCCACCTAATTAAAAATAAATCACCCTATTATTATCTTATTAGTGTCCCATAAATGTATGTACAGTTTTGACCAGCTTTAAATTGTACATGAATGTTAGCTTTGATGTAATTTTAATTCATGTAATCAATCCTGTAATGTGTTATGTATTGAAGCCTAGTTAGGAATGGACCTCAGGAAGATCAGCGAATGGGGATCTTTTAAATAAACAAATAAATAGGGATACACAATTAATCGCAATATTATTGAAATTGCAATATGGCTAAGCGTAATAAGCTGCAATTTTTTGTAGTGTACTGTAGTGCTGCAGAGATTCCCTGGCCTACAAATCTTGTGTAATCTCATTTTGTTTCAGTGAAAATTCAATTTGTGATCCAAAAATGATCATTCCCGCTAATTGTGAATCATATCACAATTGCAGTATCTGTCAAAAATAATCACAATATGATGTTTTTAACATATCGTGCAGCCCTACAAATAAACAAAAACCCAAATGTTGCCATTACAGAAAATTTCCCTTTCCTATATTCTGGTGAAGTCTGGAACTTTTTTGCTAACTACTGTAACACAGCAGAGGAGAGTTGTGCTTTACCTCGATCATGTCCACCCACTCTCTAACATTAAGGAAACTCTTCTCACAGGTGACGTCGTACAGCAGCAACACACCATCCGCCCGGCGGAAATAAGACTTTGCAATGCTGCGAAACCTGAGATGAGAAATTGGTTCAACGCACACAAATTAAACATAATAAACTACTGCTTGTTGTGAAAGGATGACTACAATATGTCTGCTTATGCACTGTTGAGTGTTTTGTGATTTTACTATCTAGCAACCACATGAATTAAGTAATACGCTTTATTTACATAACACATCTTTAAATGAATAATTAAAAACAGCATACATATCCGATGAAACAGTTTAGCTTTACAAACAAATATTTAAAAGTGAATCGCATTATTCAAATATTCACAACAACACACACACCTCTCTTGTCCTGCAGTGTCCCACAGTTGTAGTAAAATGGGCTCTCCATCCACGATTAGTGTCTTCATCTGGAAATCCACTCCTGAACACACAAAGAAGAACCAACCAACATGTCACACTACTAAGAGACACATTTTACATTTTAGATATTTTTAGGCGGAACCTGATCGGATTAAAAGAATATCCACAGAAATTAAACATTAATCAGTCTGCTGAAAGAACAGGACAATAAAGGTTGTTATTCTGTCTAAAGATTGACAAGGCGTTGGCTTTAGTGCTCACCCAGCGTAGCGCTGGAGTTTAATTTGAATTCGTTCTTGCAGAGGCGAAGCAGGAAGCTGGACTTCCCCACAGCAGCATCTCCAGCCAACACAATCCTGTATGCCTTCTCTGATGTCATGTAACCCAGGTCAGTGCTGTCCTTGTCCTCCTTCTGGAGAGGAAGCGAGTGAGAGAATAAGAGATATTCTAATAATATTAATAATAATACGTAAGAGAGAGTGATAAGCTGACTGTGTTTACTTTCTGCACATTTACTTAATGTTAAATATATTTAGTCCTCAGCATCGACCACTACTTTTGTCATTTCATTTGGAGAATGGAAAGAATGACTTTAGATCATCAACAATGATAATGAAAATGTTAAAAAATTAACCATTATTAATTTTTATATAATTTTCTGTCAAAGCCACATGGAGCTACTGGAGAGGGGCTAAAGATCTGCTCTATTGTCTGCTCTAAAAAAAGGTCTGAAAGTCACCAAAATCCTTCTAATCTTCTACCATGACCATGAATATCAATACAGAATTTTCTTCTGTTACACACCCTCCAGCTCTCTCTTACCTGAACACTGATGGCACTGAGGGCCTTTCTTGTAGTTGGGGCGGGGGGTTCGGACACACTAATGGATTCAGATGGCTTCCAGTCCAAAACTGAGCTGCTGTCTGACCCAATCGCTGATTCACTGTCCTGTGTCTCTGCTGGCTGTGATGTAGACACACAGTAGCAGACATCAATAACACATAATTCACACTATCACTACAACTTATTTACAACCTGTACAGAAACTGTGAACATGAGGAAGTTGTTGAAAGCTAGAAACCGTTGTACTGCTACACAAAAACCTCTTAAAACCTCATCTGATGTACTGACATTTTCTTTCTGGAAAAGCTTTTCAAAATGGCTCCTTAACTTCAATGATTTACTTCTATGAGTTTTTTTTTTTACATTTATGGACTGAAGCAGAGTGTCAACTCTCACAGAATCACAGATCAACCACCAGATATTATTTGGGGTCTAATGACTCTCTTGACCACCTAAAAATCTGTGCAGCCATCTGAAATATTCTACACATCCCTTGTTAGCCCAGCAGCAGGTGCTGTCAGCAGTTGTTTTACCATATTGATCCTGACTGAAATATCTCAACTACTGAATGGATTCACATGATATTTTGTACAGACATTCATGGTCCCCAGAGGATGAATTCTACAGACTTTGGTGATCCTCTAGTACCACAATGAGGTTAACATTTGTGGTTTTGAGTGAAATATCTCAACTACTGGATGGATTGCCATGAAATTTGGTAAATTCAAGTTCCCAAGATGATAAGTTCTGACTTCTAAATCCATCTAATATGAATTTAATTACCTGTTATGTGTCATAATTTCATTTCCTTGCGCAACCTTGTGTTTTATAATGACAAATAAATTACCTTAATCTCTGATCCTTGGTTTCCCATCAGCCCCAGTTGTACTTTATGTTTAGTGCTACTTAACTGCCTGCTACATGCTACACTAATATGGTGAACCTGGTAAACATGTACATTTGTGTCTATGTGCTTGACCTTCATATTGTCTCACCTCAATGTCAGAGTTTTCTCCCATCATGCTATCATTGTTGTCATCCTCCACTTTCTTCTCCCCTCTCTCCTCCTCTTCCTCCTCTTCTTGACCTTTTACCTCATGCTCTGAGTCGTAGCCTCCATGAGAACCTCTGAGTGTCGACAGGCCGCTGTCCATGTAGATCTCAGGCAGGCTGTCCTCCTCACACTCACTGCTGTGTCTGCGCCTCAGGCCTGGGTCACACATAGCCAAGGCCAGAGTGTCACAGCTGGGCCGGCGGCTGTACAGAGGGTAATCATCCATACGCTGGCAGAACCTGAGGAAGAAGTCGGGAAATAATCCATGACATAAACACGGTTCAAATGACAGAGAACTCTAGCCCCTCAAATACTTTTGTTTTTATTTGCATGTTTTTTTGAGATATTGGCCTGTGAGAGTTCTGCCTTTCCCCCCCAATACAACGGAGCAGCAGCATTGGTCAGGAGACATTTTTACTATTTCTTCTGTAGAAAATAGTCCACCACCTTTTCACCATTGATTTGAGGTTGATTGTAATCTCTCATATCCAGTTAGGACTTCTTGCTGTATATCAACTTATACTCCTTACTGTATGCTGCTGAAAAAAGCTGAATCGCTATATACCACTATGGGTGCAATTGAGAAAAAAAACAATAGTTTTTTCATTTGTTTGTAATTTGGTTGAACTGACCCACTTTTATACTGTATACACTCAACACAATACTGATGCATACTACTATCTGTATACAAAAATTTAATTTAATTCATTTTATGTTAGGTTTGCCTCTGTATTCTGTGTCCATCATTCAGTGTGTGTAATCTTTGAACAGATATTCTAGAGACAGATCTAGAGACATCCATTGTTTGTAGGTCTTACCTATCCATTAAGGCATAAGGTGATGTGTAGCAGATGCTTTTACTTCTGCTTCTGTCCTTTATGTCTCCTGGTGAGCCCCCGTTACCAGACTGTAACACACAACAATTAAAAGAGTTAAAAAGATTAAGAGAGCTTTCCCTTGTTTTTGTTAATGACCTGTTACCTGGAATCAGTCATATCATGATTGTTTTACTGAACATTGTCACACAACATACAGTTCACAGCTGACAAAACATTTTTTAACAAACTTTGAATGTTACTGTGTAACGTCTGCTGTTCCAATGAATGCATTTTAAATAGTGTTTAAATTATACATAGAATTAGACATCAGAATATCAAATTTGTTCACGCCTTCTTACATCAGATACAATGCTGAAGCCTTGTGAATAAATCCAGTCCGATGACCCAAAAGTGAACTGAATATTTACATAAAGAAGTGCGAGGATACCAACTTTATATGGAGTCACTAACCCACTGTATGAATAACATATTGCGATTTAGAAACTGAACTAGTTTTCATTTTTTTATTGTTTTAGGATTAACTGTGCAGCTTTACCCTGGTGATCCTCTCCAGAGTGGCCCTCAAGCCATCGTTGCTGTCATGGAGCTTCCTGTTCGCTGCCCTATCCAAACACAGAGCAAAATAATCATTAGTACAGGAACTCTTTCTATCTTCAGTAGAACTCCTTAGCAATACTGTATGAAACTGTCTGACTTACTGCAGGATCTCGATCTGACTCTCCAAGTGGTCTCGCTCATCAGTGAAGTGTTTCATGAGCTCCTCGTCTCTGCGACAAAACAAAGTCTATCAGTCAGAGTTACGGTAACCTGAATTAGTCCCAGTGAAAATGTGTTTGTATTGCCACAAAGGACATCCTGCACAGAACTACACATTCATCATGAGGATGAAATTAACAATAATCAAATCATGCTGACTTTGAAAAACTGACAATAAATAGGATGAGAGGTATTTTCATGCCTCTGTAACTCAGTGAAACCAGTTCAACTCAAAGACATTAAACCTAACTTATGATTAACATGAGACACCTCAGAGATACAGAAGCAACAATGTAAACATCGCTGAGATAGTCGGAGAGTTATCCTGCTGGTGACCCTGTTGCTTTTGTTGCTAAGCAACGCTTCTGAAGAAGTTATTGTGTGTGTGAAGTCACTCCAGGATATCCTGTTTCAGCTGTGACAAAATGAAAACACCCCCCCTAGGAACGCCAGGAGGGGGCGTGGCCTCCCTCTCTCTGTATGTCTCTGTAACAAAACCTCTCAACAGTGATAGTTTGATAGTCTTGGATTTTGTTACTTACTTTGTTTTTCATATGGTGTTTTATTTTGTCTGTTTTTTGATTTGTAAGGTGTTGATTTAGTATTGATCTTTTATCTCTGTAACCTTTGCATTCCTAGTTGCCTCCTCCTAAGGACTACAGATGAAAATTAGCTTTTAGTTATATCTGGTACAATACATGTGTTGTGCATTTGCCCTGCTAAATAAACGTATTTTATATATAATGTATTTGTAATATTAAAAATAGGTTTGAAATGTATCTAAGTATGGAGCTACATATGATGGGGAACAGGGTGCAAGTAGTTATTACTCTCAAGTTCACGTTCATCTTTAAGTGCAGTGAGAAAAAGGTGGCAAAAACCAGCTCTACAAGTCAGTAATTCTAGGTTTAGACTTTTAGAGTAAACACTGGAAGCGATGAGTGTATATGTGTGTAGAGAGAGGAAGATGATGTGTGTCTTATGTAACAATACTTTTCTTCTCACAGTGAAAAACTAAAAATGCAACACAGAGACGTATTAGACTGCACTTCAACGTCTCAGAGAAAAAGACTGTAAAAAGGATTAAAACTCAAGCTAACTCATATGAGCAAACATAAATCCACTTAAATTACACAAAACTGAACTGAACCACTACATTAAGAGACTCAGCATTCATAAGGAAACATAAAGCCGACCAAACTGTATTAAATTTACCTTTCAGAGCTCATGCTTTGATCAGTTAGCTCCGTCTTTAGCGAGTCCATGTCACTAAGCAGACAGGCAACTTTGGTCTGAGACTTCAGCAGCTCCTGTTTTAACCGCTGGTTCTCCTGCAGATGGAAAATGGAAGAATATGAATGCGTTATAAACTAGGAGCAGGGAGACACGTAACTACAGAAACGTGTTATAAATGAGCATATTCAGTCTCACCAGTGTTAGCTCATTGATCTTCTTCTTCAAGGCTGGGCTCTCATCTTTCACAGTGATGTTGTTGTACTTCTCTTCTATCTGATGGACAAGTTCACATATTCAGGATTAAGGTTATTTTTTACATAAATCAGATTGTACTCACGTTGTTGTTGTTGTTAAAACTGCGTATACAGTACACATTCATAGACACATTCATTGTAATTCTGTTGATTCAATCAGTGGAGTCCAGTCAATTGAAAGAGTTTTCATGTTTACCTATGTTTACCATATTGCCTATTATTTACATACGGCTTATGATTTAAGTTTCATGGGGCTGATATGACGTTGATTCATTGAAGAGAAATATACAACACTGAGAAGAAACTAAATGTACAATAAGTGGGTTGTAAATATGAACACAGAAGTCAGTACTGACTTACATTAGTGCTTCACAACCTCTTTTCTTTAAGGGACCCCTTTTCTATCACTGTAAACTGATTACTCCTGACCGATTTCATATTTTATTCAAAGCATAACAATAACAGCACAGAATAACTGATAAACTGTACAATTAACCCAAATTTTAAAATTAATTTTGAACAGATTATTTCCTGTGAGCATCAAAAATAAAAACCTTATTTCTTTTTTTGACAAACTCAGTGTTTTCTTCTCCCTGTTTGGCCATTGTTCTACTAGCTCTTTGGTTGTTTTAACTGCAGACTTTTTAAAGCAGGATGAAGCTCTTTTGGACAAAGTATAGGCTATGTGAACTTGTGTCCAGGTCTTGCCCTTATACTGTCCTGTTAAATAATAATCTAAACTTTAAAAATAACAATTTCATGTAGTTTTCTTCACAGAGATGAATGCAATGCTGAGATATAGGGCTACAGTATATCTAAAAGTTATTTTACACCCCTTAAAATCAAGAAAGCCTCGAGAGCCCCTGTCAAGTTCTGGTGGCCCCTTGTGGGGATCTGGATCCTCAGGTTGGGAACAAGTGATTTACAGTGTTAATGGTGTGTTATAATGAAAATGGAGTGAAATATTTACCATCTGCATCCTCTGGATCTTACACTGCAGCTCACACACTTCAGTTTCATAACTTCTTCGTAACTCACTCAGCGCAGCTTCTGTTCGCTTCTTCTCCTGCACACAGACACCAACACAAAATGAATTGCATTAACAGTTTGTGACATTATTTTATGAAAGTGTGTATGTGTGTTTGCTCTCTCTACAGCTTTTTCTGTGACACATTAAGCTAATTTAGGGCAGCTTTTGAACTGTGGTTGGAGGCTGCTGGGGAATCGATAAGTGAATCAGGAACTGTCTGTCTACAGTTTCCAAAAATAAAAACCTCTCTTAAAGGTGTCAGAACACGACTGTGTGCACATACGTTACAGTGTGCAAGAATACAGGCGAGTGCCCTCTAATTCTGTGTGCTTTTCTTACATAAAACAAACAGCAGCTTCTGAGTCAGTGGAGTACAGTTACATAAGTTGATACACACACACACACACAGTGATAAGACAGAGTTTATGTTTCCACGCAAGTTTTAAAGATAATCAATGATAAAAATAAATGAATACAAGATAAGTAAATCCGATGGTCTGAAGCTTGAAGTGGCGAGTGATCTGTGCTGTTCTGTCACTGAGTTGTTTTTTACTTTTCATTTTATGTCACGGAAAGCTAAATATTGTTATCAATTCTTATCATTTCACACTCTGTTTAATGTGTTTCACCAGATTCCGAGAAAGCTTTCATAAAACTCACAGTCCAGGAGTTTATCATTCATGGAAAAGAGTGAAAACAAAGTTCAACAAGGCAATAAAATAACTTTAATTTGACAATCTAAAAGCTCCTGTTGCAGTAATATATTTCAGCATCTCTAATTGTGGTCATAGAATAAAGAGATTAAATAACTCAGTTTACTTAATGAAAAAAAGTCTTAACTCATCCTCCAGTGCAAACAGGATAAACAATATTTCAGAGTTCAGGTTAGTTACATGTTTATGTTTTATTCTTTATACATTATTATTTTTATCCACACATCACCCATTCCTATCATCACTAATATATGCAGCCACCAAAGGCTTAAACATGCTCCAGCACCTTTATCTGTCTACTGTTTCATATCCTGGATCCACAGAGCTGTGAAATGCCACCGATCAGCAGGCGTGTCTGAGTTTGGATCTGATATTCAGCCGTTTGTTTGACATGAGGGAAGAACAGAACAAACGCACTCTTCTTATCGCTATGCCTACGCAAACTCCAGAGGAACAAAAACACGAGCCTGGACAACATCAACATCAAAAAGTAATGTTGTTGTGTTTTAGGGGGTCTTATGTGTTTGCGTGTCTGACTTTGTCCCACCTGCTCTCGTGTTTTTCTCTCAGCAGCGTGAATGCGTTGGTCCATTTCCTCCTCCATTTCACTGAGCTGCATTGATGCTTGGTCCTGTGCTCTGCAAAACAACAACAGGATTATTTCACTGCACTCCAGGAACCTCCATTCATTGTCTACAGACGGATCTTGTTTCAACTAATACATCATCTTCTGGTTATACAGATATACAGATTGCCTCTTGTATTAAAACTATCACCATCAACTATGAGTTGCTTTGTCCAGGGTACTCCACAGACCAGTGGTTCTCAGAAGGTGTGGATTTTATGACAACCATACAATATGCAATATACAGAAAAGTTATGAATGAATACATTTTTATTATATATAATTTATATACACTTTGTAGTTTCATTACCTAATTTTTAATTGTTTGACCTGTCAGGTTCAAATGGGTGCATTTCTTAAATTGTTTTGTAATACATATTTCATGAGTGATAGTTCGTCAAACTTTCTTTTATAGTAAATAAAATTCAGAGTTGATAACACATGCTATAGGGGCTATTTGGCACATGTAAATACAGGTGTGCCTTGGGCACAAAAAGAAAAAGAAGAACAAAAAATCCTGGCCATTTTTAGAAGCATTTCGAGAATTTATCTCAGACCATCTTCCTCATTCTAGTGATTACCTTATTATTAAATTATTCAATTTGAGAATATGTTCAATGATCAAACTGGGATCACTATAAATTACAATCAATAAAACCCTATTTCTTCCTTCGTTGTTCCAACTAAAAGTTAAATGATTCTATTCCCCCAGTTTGAAAACCAAGTTACTCTAAGCAAGTAAAGCCGCTTCTAGATACTTATTCAGTTTCACTCAGTTTGTGCATGAACCTACTCACTGCAGTGGTAAAACCTCTGATTGGGATAGTGATTTCTGTCTCTCCTGTCACATCTGATGACTTACAAAATTGTAAATGGGCTCGCCCCTTCATACCTGTCTGATCTCTTTAAACCTTACATTCCCTCCCTGCTCTCTGCTCCTTTATGCCTCCAGAATTAAAATGAAGTCAGCAGGCTGTAGTGCTTTTTTCTATCAGGACCCTTTTCTATGCAATAACCTCCCTGCTGATATCAGCCTATAAATCAAAACTTTTAATGTTTTTGCCTTAACTTTCAGTTAGCTGCTTATTCTTTTATTACTTCAGGCCGTGTACTCGTTACCATTATCTGTCGGTCTCAGTGAATCTATAAACCCTTTATAGTCCATGTTTGTCCAAGTGATGACCTTCTAAAAAACCGCTGCACCTCTCTTTCGTCCTTCCCTTGCTTTCCCTAGTTCCTCCTCTTTGTCTTCTCTTTTCACTCAGACTTCTCTGAGTTGGACCATGTGCCTCTCCCTTTCCTGGCTGTCAGTGCCTCATTCCAGATGTTTTCGATCTGGATCTTCATCTTCTGATCTCTCTCTCAAGGAGAGAGTCTTCGTGTGCATGATATCTCTCTCCCTCTCCCTCTCTGGGTCTGTTTCCTTTTTCCTCCCTGTGTTAACGGTGTGCTTAAGCTTTGCCTCTTGTGTCTTTGTAATCTGTCCTCTTCCAGGTCTGCAAGGTGGAGAGGATTTATCATTGTGATATTGGACGTATATAATTAAATGGACTTCACTTGACTGTCTTGTGTGTGGTCACAGGGCACCTAAAGCAAATTTAGAGTCATTAAATTGACCTGACCTGCTTGTCTTTGCAGCTGCAGAAATTTAGAGCCTAACCGCATTTATTGCAAGCTGATAGCTAACAAAAAATGTTTATTTGTGTGTTTTCCCTGACATCTGGACGCAGACAAAAGCATTTACAACTTATTGGAAATTACGCTTAAACTATATAAGTCATTATATCTTAAACACAACATGCAGTTATTTAGTGATATCTGGTTTAAGCATTGTTATTCTCTTACAGTAGGATATTATTATTATTATTATGTTTTATCACATTCTAATTTTCTGCAGTTCCATTGTCATCGAGGGGAACAAGGATGTGTTTGTTAATGTGTGTGTTTCCCACCGTTTGATGGCGAGCGCCAGGTTCTCCATCTCTGTGTTCTGCTGTTTGATCTCTTTGATGAAGTTTATGATGACTTTCTCAAGCTGAGGTATCAGTCTAGGCTCAGTGAGACTGACGTTCTGGTACAACGTAGCTGCTTGTTCGTTCCTGGAAGACAATCAAAATTTGACATCAGCTTTGCATAGAATAGTTTTCCCCAATAAGACTTTAGGACTTTAAGGAGATCAAGAATCCTGTTTTTTCTGTTATATATTGAACATAAAATAAACATGAGTCAGCTAAGTCAGTAAAACATGTCAACTTGTCAATATGTCAGCTCAACAGTTTATCTGTGTGTCAGTTGTTTTATTGAGTCAAACACAGTGAATTACAGTAACTGTAGTATTCATTTAATATGAAGCCACGAGCAGTAGCTGGTTAGCTTAGCTTAGCAGAAAGACGAATTAGCCGGGAGTTGACAGGGTCAGCCACAGCCAAACACACTCTAAGATTCACAACGGCTCTTCGGAAATACATGGATGAGGTCTCAGACACTAGAACTATTCCAGCATATAACCAACTAGTAAAACTGAAATAGAGAGAGAGAGACATAATAGCAGAGCCGGGCTGCCCCCCCTGTATCTAGTCTTTAAACTAAGCTATGCAAATCAGCAGCTGGCTGTAGCTTATACAAACATGAGAGTGGTATCAGTCTTCTTATGTAACTCTACAAGAAAGCAAATAACTATGTAAAAGTATTTACTAATATAATAATAATATATTAATTAACACAGTTTCTCGATTGACCAAGAAGACGAATAAACAATGAAAGACAAAAAATAGTGGAGAGACTAGCTGACACACTTCTTATTTATGTTTCTACAGTGTACATATGTGGGCCTGCGGTGAACAGTATAAAAACAGAAACCAGACCAGAGTGATGTGTCAATGTACACTGGTTAACGCCAACATATGCAGGCTAATCTTACAGATTATGTATCTGGCTCTGAAGTCATTTTACAGTGATAAAGCATCCTCTGACACAGCATGGCGGTAAAAGTGGGTCATATAAATGTACAGTCTGTGTGTGTTTGCCTTCTCACAGGGCGGACAGGCTGTAATGCTAGAGCATATAGACACTGCTACCTGTCTGTCAATAACTCATAGTGACACACAGCTCGCCGCTCCGTCACACACAGGGACACACAAACAAGCATATACATAGAAACTGTTGTTAGGTTGATATGATCATGTGTTCGGAAAAAACACCTCTCCTCCCAGGAAAATCTGAAGATATTATGTAGACAGAAAATGCTACAAGCACATGCAAGTCTCAAAGAAATGGCACAGACATTATAGTAACTATTTAAACCTTTAAGATTCATTTAAAGCTTTTTTTTAATCATTCAGACCTCCTAAACGGCTGCATAATGAGAGAGAATAAATTGTGCTATCTTAACCAAAGTATCTGTGAACATTCATCCAGTTTAGGAGGATACCACATCAAGAAGTATCAAGTCAGAATGTACTTTCTTCAGAAATAAAGCTCTTTGGATGGGAAGTGAAACATCTTCAAGAAAACCACTGTAAGTCAGGGTGCTTCTGACACGGCATCCATTGTATCCACACTTACAAAACTAAGAAGAAATACTTTTAAGCATTTAAGAACAAAAACAAATGAGAAAAGCATAGGACATGTTGTACAAGTAATGTTGTGCCGAGGAGCCGTCTTGTTAATTTTAGCGACTGTCTCAATCAGCTGAGAGATTCAGAGAATAGTTACATCAGCCTTAGTCAGCAATAAAATTATAAATAGGAACATAACTGATGTTCTGCTCTTGATGTGTCCATCTCATATTTGCACAAAATATTCTTTCATCCCTTGAAAAACAGACACTTGTCTGAAGTGAGCTCTCCAAACTGTCGTCTCTCAGCTGACTGCTGTAACAGTGACTGTAACTGCTTGAAGATAAGAGAGTGTATTTAGCAGATGTCACCACTGTGACAATCAATGTCTCAATGCCACAGAACAGCAGCAAGAGGAAGGAGTCCCATGCCAGGCCTGGGGTCACACACACACA